TAAGTTTTGTCCATGAGTGTATCTTTCAGAGTTATTGTCTGAATCCCGATATACATGTTAAATGGTACAACTTAAGTTTTGTCCATGAGTGTATCTTTCAGAGTTATTGTCTGAATCCCGATATACATGTTAAATGGTACAACTTAAGTTTTGTCCATGAGTGTATCTTTCAGAGTTATTGTCTGAATCCCGATATACATGTTAAATGGTACAACTTAAGTTTTGTCCATGAGTGTATCTTTTAGAGTTATTGTCTGAATCCCGATATACATGTTAAATGGTACAACTTAAGTTTTGTCCATGAGTGTATCTTTCAGAGTTATTGTCTGAATCCCGTTATACATGTTAAATGGTACAACTTAAGTTTTGTCCATGAGTGTATCTTTCAGAGTTATTGTCTGAATCCCGATATACATGTTAAATGGTACAACTTAAGTTTTGTCCATGAGTGTATCTTTCAGAGTTATTGTCTGAATCCCGATATACATGTTAAATGGTACAACTTAAGTTTTGTCCATGAGTGTATCTTTCAGAGTTATTGTCTGAATCCCGATATACATGTTAAATGGTACAACTTTAGTTTTGTCCATAAGTGTATCTTTCAGAGTTATTGTCTGAATCCCGATATACATGTTAAATGGTACAACTTAAGTTTTGTCCATGAGTGTATCTTTCAGAGTTATTGTCTGAATCCCGATATACATGTTAAATGGTACAACTTAAGTTTTGTCCATGAGTGTATCTTTCAGAGTTATTGTCTGAATCCCGATATACATGTTAAATGGTACAACTTAAGTTTTGTCCATGAGTGTATCTTTCAGAGTTATTGTCTGAATCCCGATATACATGTTAAATGGTACAACTTAAGTTTTGTCCATGAGTGTATCTTTCAGAGTTATTGTCTGAATCCCGATATACATGTTAAATGGTACAACTTAAGTTTTGTCCATGAGTGTATCTTTCAGAGTTATTGATAAATTGAGCTGGGACGGATATATTCAGTTATATATAGTATCGTATCAAGTACCTAGGTATGGAATCTGCACACTGCCCAACTCTCCTGCCGCCATTATTTGCGGTTGCACTCTATTTATCCTCTCTCCTCCTAGAGTAAACAATTCGCAGCCATTTCTCTTCCCTCGAGTGTAAACAAACCCACGTGCTCTCAATCTATCCACTACCGAAACTCTTTTTATTTGAGCCTCAAGATATATTCATTTGTTCATATAGGGGATTCCTTATAACAGAAATATATTCAAAAATAGTATAAAAATATAAGTGTACTGGGCGAAACCGCTGGGAGGGTTTACCACTGATAAACCAAGCCCTCTCAATAGTTTTTCATCGTAATAAGGACAGTAGAATTTTGATTGATGTATAGAAGAAACATACATGTCTTGAGTGTTTTCATTTGTTATATACAGAGATAGCTACATTTTAAAAGAACATGTTTTCAACGCTGTAGCTCGCGAAAGAAGCGCGTGATTCGAGTAATGTTCCATTTATTCGAAAGAACAAGCATTGATATTTTAATTTAATGTAAAAAGAATTTTTAAATATTAGAAATTCATCAAAATTATACTTAGTGTGTGATTTTGTAGAAGGTAACGTTTCCCGACTTACCGAGAAAAATACTCGTTAACCCAAAGTATTAAAATTATGGAAGTATATTGTGATATTACTAAGTGCACAATCAGTCAAATAATAAAAGCAAATAAAGAATTTTTTAATAAAAATAAAGATAATCTCACACCCATCAAAATGACGTAAAAACTAAACGCCATCTATTGACCGTTGCCGCAAACTAGCAGCTTCAGGTCGGTGACAAAGCCACAACAACAGCTTTGGTAAACTGAGAAAAGACTTTTCAATTCAAAATAACACACAGACATTTTATTAAGCCATATCGATACAAATTCAATGTTCTACCGATATTGATTTCGTCTATCTATCAGTATACCATCATGGTTTAAAAACGGTAAAATCAATATCTTTGGCCTTTATTATTTAAAAAAGAAAATAGGACATCTCCTTAACGGGCAACTGGGAGTTGCTTATGGCTTGCGCCATCTATCGGAATATATACGATAAGAAGATGCCCCTTTTTTATTTTTTCATTTATGAACCTTATCCCAGTAGAATATCACATTTGTACTATTTTTCACTTTATTATTTATTTTTTGTTTTATAAATAGGTGTATTTACTCATAAATATTCCGAAAACAATAGAGAGCTGATATCGAGACACAATATCTCTTATTAAAACATGTTAATACCACATAACAAGAGAGATAAAACAGTAGATTGTAGTAAAATAAATACAATTATAATTTAAAATTACAATTAAAATACACTCATGGACAAAACCTAAGGATTTTTATATTTCGATATCGCCGGTCATCTTCTTTCATTTTATTTTTTATTTTTTCAGGGAGACAGAGATTGTTTACCCTTGGTTATCTCGTGATCTTCAATAGAGGTCATTGTGTATCAAATATCTTTCAGATTTATTGTCTGAATCCTTATATACAACTTCCTTAAGGTTTGCCAATGAGTTTAATTTGAATAGTGTGTTTTAATTATTGCTAAATAAACATACAATATATTGATGAATATTATAGCTTTCAAGTTTTGAAAAATGAATTTATATTCTATATAATATGCGCTTTTTGAAGTGAGTATTATAAAAAATATATTTTAATAATATGATAATAAAAAAGGTAAATATTACCTAAGTCGTTATAAAATAGGCCTGAAAGATATATATCATTAGGCAATATAATTTTAAATATTAAATTCTAATCTAAAATGGCAATAATTGAAAGAAACTTTTGATTCAAAGTAAAAAAATATATATATATATATATAATACTATCATAAAACGAACTGACTGTAAACATTTAATAAAAAATATATAAAATAATATATATAAAAGAGGATGGTTCTATTTTCTAGAATAGAAAAATAATATATATTTCAAAAATTTCCAACCAAACGAGACATGAAAGAGAAAGAGAGCAGACGACACTTACGCGGTGCGCGCGCAGCTTCAATTGAACCCTCGCCGTCGACACACTTAAAACTGTGGCGTCGTAGGGTTCGCCTGCCGGGGTAAAAAAAAAAAAAAAAAAAGAATGGCGTCTTCACATGAGGTGTGTAAAGTTTTCTTTTCGCTCTCTCCATTTTTTTTCAACGATTTCTATTGATTTTCTATATATAACGTTTTATTTAAATAAATAAAATTCTAAGATAAAATAATAGGTGCAGCAGTTGCAATGTTCTCTATCCTGAGTGTGTAAAGCTGCTGCTCTGGGTCCTTGTCAATTTTCTGTTGTTGTTGTTGTGTCCAATGAACAGATGTCTCCATACATCTCTATCACAGCAGTTGCAATGTTCTCTATCTTGGGTGTGTAAAACTGTTGTTCTGGGTCCATGTCAAATTTCTGTTGTTGTTGTCGTGTCCAATGAAGAGCCTCAGATGTCTCCATACATCGCTATCACAGCAGCAGCAATGTCCACTATCTTGGGTGTGTAAAGCTGCTGCTATGGGTCCTTGTAAATTTTCTGTAGTTGTTGTTGCGTTCAATGAACAGATGTCTCCGTACATCTCTATCACAGCAATGTCCTCTATCTTAGGTGTGTAAAGCTGCTGTTCTGCGTCAATGTCAATTATCTGTTGTTGTTGTGTCCAATGGAGAGCTGCAGATGTCTCCATACATCTCTATCACAGCAGTCGCAATGTCCTCTATCTTGGGTGTGTAAAGCTGCTGTTCTGGGTCCATGTCAATTTTCTGTTGTTATTGTCGTGTCCAATAAAGAGCCTCAGATGTCTCCATGCATCTCTATCACAGCAGTCGCAATGTCCTCTATCTTGGGTGTGTACAGCTACTTCTGTAGGTCCATGTCAAATTTCTGCAAGGCTGCGGCCATTGGTAGGCATTAAAATATGTGGGTAGGTGTTAGTTTCACATTAAGACAATTGTCACTGTAGTTTCTTGTTGCCTAAAAGGTTCTGTAATAAATATTAGAATTGTCACGTACCTTGATCCTCCGAGAAAGTGTCAGGAATTCCAGAGAGCCACTCCATCCACAGCCCATATCGGCTCATAGGAACAATTAATACCTCAGTTTCTAATCTGTACTTCCTTCCTGTAGCCTTCGCTTGCTCCACAGCTGCCACCTTCATTCATTGGATGAGAGAGTCATAGCTTCGAAAATATATTTTCTGTGAAAAATACCTCTCTAACCATCCTTAGGACTGAAGTACACCTATCCCCCGATTTACACGGTAGATACGTTCCCGAGAAAAACGTGTAAATCGGGGGATAGGTGTACACAGAAATAAAAATAAAATGCATTGACAGGTTAAAATATGTAGTCAGCACATAAGCTCGGGATTCCTCGTTAGATGTGTACACAGCGCATGTGTTCAATCACAGTAGCATTTAGTATAGCGCGATAAAAACAAAAAAAAATTATTTGGAAAACCGTGTAAACGCGAAAACGTGTAAAAAAGTACCGTGTTAATAAGGGGATAGGTGTATAATGCAATTTGATCTGTGACTTCAATTTTATCCTGAATATTTAGAATATATGGGTAAGGTAAGTTATGTATGATATGTATATGATTCAATATGGTAACAAAGTATTTATTAATTTTATTATTTTTATTAACAGAGTGGTCATTTTTATCTTTATATTTTGTTACTCTGTAAATTTCCCTCGTGGCTTATCTTTTGTTTACCATTCATAGTTTGTCCTTCCCTTAAATAAATTTATGTCTCATCCTGAAGTCTTTGTCTTCCCTAATTTTGAATTTTCGTTCATTTATTTAATAGAAAATTGTATTGTAGAACGAAGTTTGACAATTATACCACAAATGTTTCTTTTGACGAAAAATCGAAATTTATTTTAAGGAGAAATAACGATCATTTCTAGACTTTGAGATGAAGTATGAAAGGATGAATTGTGAAGAGTAATGATAAACGGAAAACTAAAATTTCCAGGGATGGGAATCGAACCCATAGTGTTCCTATACCGGGCAGATGCCATGTCCACTAGGCTATCCTGTACATATTGTATTATAAAAAGATGTATGGAAGCACTGGTATCATCAAAAATAAATAGCATCAATAGAAAAATTGACCTCCCAACCCAGTATAATATCTATTACTTTAGCTGGAAACAGTCTGATGCACGCCCACACATGCCAATAACAAAAGTTTTCAATTATTCTGTATAAATAATATTTAGAGATTGTACATAGAATATCAGCCCGTTGAAGAACAGTATATTTGCTCGAAAGCTTGCAAATTTAAATTAAAAATAAACTTTTTACCTGATATTAATTTTTACTTTTTCAAAAAAAAAAGTATATTTCCTAAACTAATATTTGAAAAATCGTGTGATCTTTCTCTTAATTGGCGAATCCTTCTACCAGATCTACACCCGCCCACCCATACACACAGATACACACAGACACACACGCACTCAGACCCACACACAGACCCTAATTTTCTATTTTAAATTATTTTTCCACATATATAAACTAAAATTAAAAACAAAATAGGCAAATATAACATTAGCGCGCAATCTGTTGTGGGAATTCGAAACTAATATAAACTCGTATGTGTCAAAAGGCGATCCATTAATTAAGATTATATAAAAGGGCGTACCTGGATCTGTAAAAAAAAAAAACAATTTTTTTTCTCAAAATATTTCGAGAGATTGCTCCCTCTTTATCAATTTATTGCACAGTGAATTTAATTTACAAATTATTGTAGATCACATGAAAACAAATTTTTCATTGATAACGAAATTATATATTGATAATTTCAATGAAAAATTTGTTTTCATGTGATCTACAATAATTTGAAAATTAAATTCACTGTGCAATAAATTGATAAAGAGGGAGCAATCTCTCGAAATATTTTGAGAAAAAAATTGTTTTTTTTTTCTTTACAGATCCAGGTACGCCCTTTTATATAATATTATAGACGCGTATGATTCTTTTACCAATTGAACAATTCTATATTTCATTAATTTTTCCATTGCAGTAAGGACAGTAGAAAATTGTTTAATTTTTAAAAGAATCATACGCGTCTATAATAGTTTCGAATTACCAAAATAGGTATATCCTGATCACCCGCATGGTATTTTTAGATGGCAGAGCGCCATCTAGTAGAACAGAAATCAACTAAACATTGATTTAACCTGTTCCCTGATATTTAGTCGATCCAATTTCTTGATAAATCAAGAAAAGCTAATCACGACCGTTTCCAGGCTGTTGGCCCTCGTCAGCGTGGTGCATTCTGCATTTTTTTTTTTGGTCCCAGAGGTTTTTGAGAAATCAAGAAATGGGTACTTATGGCCAAACATTGCTAAATACGCAGAACATGTGAAAACATATTTTTAAAAAGAAAAAAGGTCAGGTGTTTATATTAAAAACATATAATAATATAGGGGGCCCCTTGTAAGGTCCAGCAAGAACCAGATGGAACTCCCCCCCCCCCCCCCCCCCACCGAACCCGTTCTCAAGAACCCCCTGCCCCAACAGACCCCCTAGAAGACAAGAGTGAAGCACCAGCTCCACCTGGAAGTAAACTAGGCCTCCTCGTTCATGATCCGGGGGGCCCCTCTCCAAAGACCTGCAGACCTAGTGACCAAACAGGTCTAGAAGGATCGCCACCCTACCGGAAATGAACCCAAGAATCGCCTGCCCCTGAGGACCACCACTGTAAATATTTTTGGACCCAGGAAAGGAGACAGACCAATGACCGAAAGGAACAATGGAGAGAAGCCGCAGTCCCCAGGCACCGAAAATGGAGGACCCCGCCCTGGCCCTTTTTGAGAAAGTGGACCCAACCCCTTGGCCGGGAACCCTGTACCCCATAGCCTAGACTGCTTGAGCATTTTACTGTACTAAATTAGCACTGGCAAGCATTTTCTAGTGAAGGCTCTTCAGCAATCTCTTGTTTTTTTGTTTTTTTTTTAAGATGCCTTCAATAAAAGTATTGTGTATATATATCAACATATAATAATATATTTAAAATGGCATATCCTGACCAGGAGCACATGTGCTTTACAGAAGGCAGAGCGCCATCTGGTGGAACAGAAATCAACTAAACATTGATTTAGCCTGTTCCCTGATATTTGGCCAACCCAATTTCTTGATAAAGAAATGCTGTTGTAACTTGTCAGCGTGGATGGCTTTTCTTGATTTATCAAAAAATTTGGGTTGGCTAAATATTAGGGAACAGGCTGATTCAGTGTTTAGTTGATTTCTGCTCCACCAGATGGCGCTCTGCCTTCTGTAAAGCACATGTGCTCCTGGTCAGGATATGCCATTTTTAATGTTGATTTCAACACCTGATCTTTTTATCTTTTATTTTTTTCTTCAGTTTGTTCATATAATATTATATACTACACTTTGATCTTAGCCAAAAGGCCGAGAAGCGATATTAATAAATATACTAAAATGTTTTAATACCTTGATAAAAGTTGGCGTTCAGCCAACTAGAATATTGGTAAAATAAATGATATTTTGATTCAATATATGCCTTTTTAATTAAAGATCTATTTATGGATTTCTCTATTTTCAGAAAAAATTATATATTTCAATGTATATATATATATTGTGGCGAAGAAATAACTAATATTTTCAATTTCAATTTAATTTTATTCAATGAAAATATTCAAAAGATTATATAAATATATATTAATCTATTTATGTAAAATAATGATAAAAATATTTCTTTGCTTGCTTGTTCAAGATTCTCTAGCTGTAGATAGTTTGGTTGAGTTGTTGATATTGATGATTACGCCGTGACGTCATCAATAAACACGCTTACATCTTAAGATATTCCAAGACTTGATTTCTACGCTACAATATACATATATAGTATAGTTATGAAAATTTTAAGATTTATAATTTTTTTAATTTAATTTAAACGTGTGAGAGGTTTGTTTTTTTTATTTTTATTTTTGTAATAAATACAAAGGGGGATCAATAAATAAGGTGAATTATCTTATTTCTTAAAAATTAAAAAAGCAAAAATAATTTAAACCACAGAATATTAAAATATAACATCGAGAGACTATTTAAGGTGTTCTGTTCTTTTTTCCAACGCGCGGCGCGAGACTTATAAATAAACTAAAATGGAAGCTCCCTTGAAGGATTGCACCACGCTTGAACAACGTGCAGTTATTCGTTTCCTGAATGCAGAAGGTATTCAAACATCTCAAATATGCCAAAAAAAGGAAAAATATCTATGGTGAGTCTTGTTTGTCTCAAAAAAAAAAAAAAAAAACATTTATAAATGGGTTAACGAGTTCAAAAATGGACGAATTACATGTTCCTCAGGTCTCAACGTTCGGCCGATAAAGTTTTGTTAACAATTTTTAGGGATGTTGATAGACCAATCGGTCTTACTTTTTATCCTGAAGGCAACGTATGAACAGCGACCTTTATTGTGACATTCTTGTAAATAAGCTAAAGCCCGGTATAAGAAACAAAAGAAGAGGGAAGCTTAGTAAAGGTGTTCTCTTCCTTCATGATAATGCAAGGCCGCATACATCATGTAAAACTGTATCTACAATCATTAAATTAGGTTTTGAAGTTTTAGAACATCCTGCATATATTCCAGACCTAGCCCCCTCTATTTCCTTTTTGGACTACTAAAGAAGGAGTTAAAGGGAAAGCGATTTGACTCGGATGAAGATGTCCAGAAAGTGGCGCAAGATATTTTTCACACGCTTCCTAAGAGTGCCTATATAGAGGGTATTTGCAAGTTGCCAGAACGATGGAGACGATGTATAGAAAGCCAAGGTGATTATTTTTAATAAATAAAGTCCTAATTTTTAATATCGTTCTTATTTTTCTAAATAAATTATAATTCACCTTTTTATTGATCCCACCTTGTAATTGGTTATATTAGAATACTAGCGGATGTACCCGGCTTCGCCCAGGTTTTTCTCGAGGGAATGTTTGTAGTCTAGTAATAAGAAAATATACTACACCTAAAAACTATCAGAGAAAAGAGAAACCACGGAAGGTGAACAAAAAAATGCTTACAATGGATGTTATGTTTACGATATCAAGTTAAATAAAAACAAAGATAAAATTTGCATATGTTGGTCACTATAAATTTGTATATTTGTTAGGCGAAATTAGAAACATGATAAAACAATTGGGTATTTAAAAACAAATGTAGAAATAAAAGTTGAAGTATAATAAACAATGTTAAAGATTAGTTTTAATTATTAATCAAGATTGTGTGTGAATATGTGAGAAAGATGTAATATCGTTGTTGTTTTCTTGGCCGACTGTTTTACATATGGTGTTATCTTAAAATTGCTTGTTTTGAATATTTTTTAGATTGAGATTATTAGCTAGTATGTAAAAAAATTAACTCTGTTGAAATTTAATTTTGTATTTATATATAAATAAAATTAACTCTGTTGATTTATTTTGTATTTAATCGATAACAGCGAAGTTACGCATGTTAATGTTAGGAAATATATTTTGATGTTAAGCAATACCTGCTCCATCTCGTTTTACATAAATGTTGAAAATTTGGTTGAAATTGATGCATTGTAACGAAAGTTTTTAGTGATGTCCACTTATTAAATTTCCATTTTATTAATATAGATAATATAAAAAAAGAAAAAAGGAAAAAAAGTAACACCAGCAAAGCATCGGCAGTTACGCGTCATAGGCTGGGTGAAAAAAGGAATAAGCGAAGAGAAAGTTTTAAAGAGAAGAGCAAAGACAGAACCATGATAATAATTTTCCAAATATAAAATAAAGCTAATTAGAGAGAGAGAAGTATTTTTTTTTTTTTGCTCTATTTTCTCTCTCTAATTAGCTTTATTTTATATTTGGAAAATTATTATCATGGTTCTGTCTTTGCTCTTCTCTATAAAACTTTCTCTTCGCTTATTCCTTTTTTCACCCAGCCTATGACGCGTAACTGCCGATGCTTTGCTGGTGTTACCTTTTTTTTTCTTTTTTTTTTAATATTATATTCTAATATAACTACTTATTTATTACAAAAAAAAATTAAAAAACAAA